TGGATCAGTCAGCTTTCTGAACTTGTGGACTACAACCAACCCAGGAAGTTAGGGCCATTGCTTTCAATATTTCAATTTTCTTTAATATTGTCTTTCTTTCCCATTTTTTAGTTGCACATATCTTTGAATCTTACCATTTGTTTTGCAGGAAAACATTCAAGTACATTTGCAAAGCACCTACAGGTTGGTAGACATTACTTGATTGTAATTTCATTTGAAGTGAACAAGGATTAAAATTTTCTTCCCTGTCCTCTGTTTTTCTAGACTCTACCAGGCTTCAGAAGTGGCTGGAAAGAGTAGGAACTGTCTAAGTAGACAAATAACATTTCAGGGGAGTTGGTCTACTAAAGGAGTACAGTTTGCCTGTTATCTATTTGGCCATCTACTCTTTCCAGTAGTCACCTCTGAAGCCTGGTAGAGGCTATTTATGCTGTATTTTTTTTTTGCCGTATTTTTACAAAATGTCTGGGAACCCAGTCTAGAAAATAAGTTTCTATGGCCTAAGGTCTTATTTCTTAAATCACTCTGCTGTATGATTCCCAAGCAGAGTAGGAAAGGTCTCCCATGCCCTTATGCAGAGCGTAGGGTGATGCCCATATCCATTTCTGTAGCCCTTGGGCGACACACAGTTGTGCAATGCACTACAGCAGGGGGCTGGTCCGCTGGTAGTGCTGTGTGTTTGACCTTCCCACACCCTTTCTCCTATGTGCTGAGTGCTAAGCAGAGAAAGAAGTGTGTACCATTTTTAAAGTCTTTGGTATGACCCGGCCGGGGTTTGAACTCACGACCTCCCGGTTACAAAGCGAGCACTCTACCAATTGAGCTATTGCACCGGTATTAGAGCAGAGTGAAGCAGTGAAATGGTATCTTTGATCTCTCCACAGGAGAGTATCCTCATCGCTGGCAGATCACTTAGGGATGGCCGGGACCGCCGTATTCCTCCAGACCGGCAACGCACAACTCTAGAACAGTCCCCCTGATGGCAAAAACGCTGCTGGGTCTGGTGCACCTGCAGTCAACGTTACTGTAAAATCTTGAAATGTTTTCAGGGTTTTATTTTATCCATTTTCATTGTGCTACTAAAGAATCGTTCTAACTGCAAAGTAACTTAATACAATTTACAAGACAGCAAAAACGCCTTGCTACTCCTACCACAAAAATAATGCAATAAATCTATACTCTGATTATTATAATCATCATATCATCATCATCAGGCAGGTGCTGCAATTATTAGAATACCCAGGCAGTTTAATAGCCTTAAGATATTTTAAGTTAAGTTTCTATAGCAGTGTGCCTTATACACTTTAATAAGTAGATAGAGGAAGAAGTTAGCAACAATCATGTGATATCAAGTCTCATACTAAGAGATGCTGTGAAAAGTGTAAAATTGAACATCAAAACAATGAGCAGACTGTAATGATAAAACATCATCTTGGAGTAATGTTGGCACACGGACATGACTTTTTAAGAAAAATTTCAATTATTTTAACACCTTTTCGCTAGTTCAGCACCAAGGACAGGTAAAATTTAAGTGAACAGTATCTAAATGGGGTGAATAGTAAATTGTTATAATACATATAAGTGATGGTTTATTCAACATTTATGGGTACTTTTGTTTTGTTTCGGTGCTTGCTTGCTGGGAGTGCGGTTCTGTCCTGAATAAAATATTCTTGACCAAGAGAAATGTGACTCCTGTCCTGTATCCAGAGTAATTGAAGGTGCTGCAGTTACACATCTTTCTGATAGGGGGCAGGAATTTGTTTTACTGTTCAGTGGTTTACACTAAAAGAAAGATTTTTCTTGATTTGCCCTTGCTTGGACGGTATGGCTTTCTGGGTTTGGAACCCAATTTCATGTTACAGATCGAAAAACGTTGTAAAGCACACAAATCTACAGTTTAAGAACACCAACAGGTACAATGTAGGCTGGGATTTGAACCAACGACCATGTGGTCCAATGTTGGGTGCTTAAAAAATAAGCAACAGCAAGGGTACATGAATGAAAACACACACACCACACAAACGCGCGTGCACACTCACACCCACACCCACACACACGCACACACACACACACACACACACACACACAAAAGGACAAAATTTCATTGCACCAAAGCCATTTTCCTCAAACAAACAGATATTGTAATGGACTAATCAGATCAAATACAGAGTACAAGCAAACAAGTGATTATAAAAAACATTTTTTATTTACAACAGGCAAAGACATTGTCAATATCCATTGAAACAAAATACACCGTAAAATTTATCCATATTTCCATACACCTTTGTAACAACGGAACATTTAAATATCTTTTGCAGGAATGGAAGATACCGTGTGTATAATGATAGAATTCGGGACATCTGAATACTTCTACTAAAACAGGTCCGAAAAAGCACCTTTATGCCACAGCTATTTCTTCAGTTCTCAGATAGTTTGAAACTAAATATAATGCCACACCAATTTAATTTGTTGGTTCTTGGATTTTCTCAGAGAAAATATGAAGCAACAGGGCAAAAAAAACCCAGGTCTAGGCATCCTATTATAGCCCCAAATGCTAGGATAGGAGCCATGAAGTCAACACAAAAGGCTGGGTTAATATTTAAACAATGAATTTTGAACTTCTAATCAAACCACTGCATTGATAGATGGAAAAACTGTGACAAGTAGGAAGAAAAGGACTGTTTTCTACTTTTCAGGGCAAAATATGAGCATTTTGCAGTTGATTCTTAATTTTTTTTTTTTGCAAATCAGAAAAAAATGAAGAGGCAAATTCAATAACCAACAAATTAGATTAGTGTGGCCTAAAGCAGGCAGAGGACATAATAAAACAGGAGACTGGGAGAAAAAATTCACCCCAGGAAATAACTGAGCAGCAAGTTCTTAACTTGTGACTCTGACTCTCTAGATTTAGCATTTTGTAATCTGAGGACTGGCAAATTTACTCAGTGTGGCCTTACCACTAAATTTAAACATGTTTATACTTGCTTATTACATGCTAAAATATACAAGCTACATTCTCGTAAATCTACGCATCTTTTGACATATAATCGGTCTTGCAAACATAGTAAAGATTTTAAAAAGTTTGAAAATGAAATTCAAACTTAAGCACTCTACTGGTGCTTTGAGTTTGAAATTTGGGAAGTTTAGCTTGTGACATAGTCAACTGTTCAGTCTGTGTTTCTCAAAAACGCTTTGAATCTTGTTTATAATTGCAACATTTTTTAATTTCAAGTTGCAATTCAAATCAAGCTGTTATTATCATTGGAAAAGCACTTTAAAAAAATGGCAAGTCTCTAAGGAAGGGACTTATATTTCATAGAACATAACTGTTACATTGATCAAAATTTTTCAGCTTACAATGTACATGTATGGTACACTTACAGTAGCATTTGGTTAGGGAGGGGGGAACCTAATATGCAAAAGGTTCCTCTGAATGATATGCACTTCACCTAGTTAGAAATTTCCCTGCTGTTAAAAAAAAAGAATTCTTTAATAGAGGGTCATCGAGGGTTAAAAATGGCAAATCAGAAAGATGACATGTCAAAACTAACCACCTGAGAAAATCACATGACCTGAATCGACCAATGGGTCTTCAGATACCAGAGACAGAAGATTAGGGAAAGCACTTAATATACTGACTAATTCATCTTTTAGTCCCTGTTGTTTATTATGATAAGTACATAATTAAATGAGCCAGAACTAGAGTCAAATTTCTGTTTAGAAAATAGAGAGATTTTGGTATCTCTAAAAGTGTGAAGTTGTAATAACATAGTCTATTGTAGCACGTCAGCAGAACGTACTGCACCTATGCGAAACCTGTAATGTATTGTGCATTGCACTTCGGCAGAACGTATCATATAAGATTGTATCTGCGTATATAAGGTTAATATCTCGACTATAGTTTCCAAATGTTGTGTTGGAAATGATATCTTCTGCAACAGGTAAAATTCTGATGCAACATTCACCGAAAATCCAATGAAAAATGTGAAAAATCAGGGTTTCGCGCAGGCGCAGTACATTCTGACAATGTTCTTTCTATTGTTGGTTACAAGTTTATCATATTTGGTAACTTGGTTACACACAAACACCAATTTCCCCAGGATAACAATGAAATCACCTTTAAAATTTGACTCGTCAAATAATTGTACAATCATGGCACTGGAGGGAGCACTTTTATACAGTGCAAGGTTCACCCTGCTAGAGAATGCAAGCTGCAGTTTGCACGTAAAAAGATAGAGGTCCTTCTTTCCACTGACGCACGGCCTATATAATTTCACAGTTTCAGATATCGTCACACATAACAGCACTGACAATGTTTCAAAGCTACATTCTGCCACACAAGAATGATCAGAATTCAACCTAAATATCTGGCGGTCTCACTTGGCATATAAAATATCAATAAGAACATTTCACTGACAACATAAACTTAATAAATTGGTGGGTATCATAGTCAAATCTTGTAGTGTCCATTTTCTATTTCAAGAATTTCTGGTATAAAGCTTTATCATGTACACATGTACTTGTTTGTCAATGCTCTGAAAATCATAGTAATATTTGGTTTTGAAGGCAGTTTTGACATTTTCAACAAACAGTTGTATGAAGGCCTAAAAAATGTGGCAATGAGTTTGTACATTACAATGTACATTGTAAGAATGCATTTCAAAACTTATATCTGCACAGATGTCTACACTCAGGCAAGTCATGTATGCTTCTTGTCAAAGGCAAGTAGACTTTCTGATATACTCACAATCCAGTTGTTCCAACATATAACAAAAACATGTATACCATGTACAATGTATATACATAGAGTTACATATACATGTACATCATATTACAAGCTACAGGTATGTGGCAATATCATTAGTTGACAAACTTACCTACTATAAAGCAGCTAAAAATCATATTCAATGTTTGGCCAAAATAGAAGTCGGTATAATGTTACATGTAGATCATTGTTGCATAACCAACTACTAGTACATGTATCTTAAAGCATAAGAACAATGTCAAAAAACATGCCTTCATCGAGAAGTAACATGCAAAAAATAGTTAAAACTCCCTGTCAAAGGTTTCACATATGAATTGCAATATTTCACACAAAAATATGTATACCTTGTCACTTTTTTTAATATGTTACTTTTCTAAAGCTAAAAAAACTGTGACTCTTAGTACAAAACTACACTTATACATGAATGCAACATATTCACTTAGTACGGTACAGTTAGTGTGAATGGTTGATATCTTGCCCCCCTCCTTCAAATACGAAAGATGTAAACGACAATATTGCGGTCTTGTTGTATCAGGATTCATCTTTAGTTGAATGATTTTTTTGCAGTGAAATTGCAGAGTTGTGATCATCACCATTAAACATTTACAAACAGATGCCTAACTCTAAAGTTAGCGAAGTCATCAGGCTAGGACTGACTACATTCATGATTAAAGTTTTCCTTAATCACTCGAAACAAAGCAAAGTAAAACTTTAAACAAAAAAATAATAACTTTTCATACTCCTAGGATGGGCACTTGATGTAGAACAATACAAGACGAGTCTTATTTTGCTACAAGATGGCTACAAAATTAATCTCCTTTTCTTTAACCTGTAATGCGGTTTAGCCTGTACTACCGTGGTCGAATCTTCTCGTAGAAAAACTGTGCTCCTAGCGGCGTTAGCTCGCCGTTGACCCGTCGTAACGATCTCCGAACGACGTGATGAAACTGGTTCAGCGCAAACTGGTAGAACTCGTTTTCCATCTGCCAAATCTGGGACCTGCGAGAGTAGTAATAGTGATTTTCGTGAATAGTTACATCAGGTTTGTAAGTCACTGAGTAAAGAGTCAGACTTTTCTTAACACACAACCAAGTGTTTTATTCAGCCGACGTTTCGGTGACCGTCTGTTACCTTCCTCAGTGCAATTATGACTGTTTCACATTGCTCTGCAGCATAGGTATACATTGTATGTGTGAATATGTAAATATTGTATGTTTTGGAATGCATCTATAGCAGCGACACCTGTGCTGCAGTGCAATGTGAACCAGTCATAATTGCCCTGAGAAAGGTGACAGACGGTCACCGAAATGTCAGCAGAATAAAAGACTTGGTTGTGTAAAAATAGTCTCTTTACGCAGTAGTAGTAATATGTTTATTCATAAATATTGTATGTATGTTTGCGGTTGGAAAACCAATATGAAATAAAGCACAGAACAAATTCGGCCTTGCAGTAAGAACTGAATTGTGCCAAAGTTTACAATCAACATATTCAGTAAAATCAACACGGCAGGCTATATAGTACATTTTTGTATGTAGGTAGGCTATCATAGTACATTTAAATACATGTACAAGTTACGTTCAACAATGTCGACATGCATGGTTAACAATAATCATACCTCTGGATTTTTCTGACAGTCTCTTTCGAAGGCTCCTGTTTGTTGGACGTTTTTCTCAGATGGGACTTGCCGCCTGAGCAGAGGAAACAGTAAAGACACATTGTCTCATACGCAGGTTTTCATTGGTTGTTGTCGATAAAACACCCACAAACCGACCAATCAACGGAGCCGATAGAAATTGGTGCAAACATGTCAGAGGGGTGGAGGTCACCATTGTCCCTTGGGAATCTAGTATCGATAATAAACACACCTGGTACTGAGTTCGAAACGTGATGTTAGTAGTAAAAGACAAACAACAACGAAGAAAGTAGCACACACACACATATAGCAGTCACTAAGGCCACACCAATTTAATTTCTTGGTTAACGGATTTTTGTAGAAAAATAATGGAGCGGGTGGGCGAAAAAAAAATAAAAATAAAAATAGGCCTAGGCATCCTATTATGGCCCAAAATGGTACGATAGGAACCATGAAGTCAACACACCAGGATGGTTGAAAATTTAAACAATGAATTTTTAACTTTTAATGATACCATTGCATTGAAAGATGGAATAACTATAACAACTAGGATGAAAAGAACTGTTTTCAACTGTTCAGGGCAAAATATGAGCATTTTGCAGTTGATTCTGAATTTTTATTTTTATTTGTATATCAGAAAAAAATGAAGCGGGCGAATCCGTTAACCAAGAAATTAAATTGGTGTGGCCTAACTGAGCAGAACACAAAGCAAGAAGGGGTAAGTATAAGTCCTGGAAGAAATCCCACACTTTTCTACCAACCGGCAAAATCTGCAATAAAAGGTTTAACATACACAACCGCATGTGCCTTGAAGGAGCATGTTATTAAGTGACCAGGGAAGGGCTTTTGTTGTTAAGAAAATTCAAACAACGTAATACAAATAGGTTAGGCATAGAAAATGATAGCCCGTAGTGCAATTTTTAAGCCTCGAGTCCAGCCTTGTTAGCTTCAGTCCATTTCCAATAGTCAACAGGTAGCAACCATTGGAAGCACACCAAAGTACTAGACCAGACTGGACTCTGGGCTAGGCCAAACAATTCAGCCTGGGTGTTATATGCATCCTCTGTAGTTATTGCCACTGTCACTGGACACCACAGAAAGGAGCAGGTTGTAACTATGAAGGATGGCACCCAGGCTAACACAATTTGACTGGACTCTAGGCTAGTATAATTTAGCCTGGGTGCCATGCATCCTCCATAGTTATTGCAGGCTCCTTACTGTCGCTGGCTCACATGGTAGTCGGCGGTAACTACAGAGGATGGCACCAAGGCTAAGTACAATTTTGGTTACTCAAACATTAGCCACAACCCTGTCCTGACACCTAACAGTCTGCCCCCTTAGACAGCTGGAAAGTAGAGTTAGGGCTGCCAGATGGAGAAGAGAATTGAGGAAAAGAGCTGTACCGGTACCGGGCGGGCAGGGCGGTCGTCCAGGCAGCTCCTGGCAGTTACCTGGGCAGTGGGACACGAGGAGTTACTAGCACCAGGTGGACCAGCATGCAAGCTTCAGTAAGCACGTCGGCAGAACGTACTGCACCTGAGCAAAACCCGTAATGTATTGTGCATAGCACTTCGGCAGAATGTCTCATATAAGGTTGTATTCGCGTCTACATAAGGTTAACATCGCGTCTGTAGTTTAATATTATGTCGGAAAATATGTCTGTCCACAGGAAAAATTCTGATGCGACTTTGACCAAAAATCCAACAAAAACTGTGAAAAATGGGGGTTTCACACAGGCGCAGTATGTTCTGCTGACATGCTGCTTCAGTACAAACAAACAATTATTATAGACCGATGCTGGCTAACTACAGTCATTGTACAAATTCACAGTTTAACCAATAAAAGAAAAGTGATCTCGATCTATTTTCGCTCACCAAAGAGCTATTCTTCCACTGGTCGTGACAGAGAAGTCAGACGCAATGTACATGATTGTATAACGTTAGACCAATAAGAGAGTTTGACCAGTTTTTTGCATTACTACGTATACAAATTGGGCTAATGGCTACAAGATCAGTCTATTCTTTGAAAACATACAGTAATACACAATGTACATGTATGCAATGTACAGATACAGCACAGGTACAAATAGTTATGAATGATGACAAATATTGAAAGAAAACAATTAAGCCAGACAACCATGATGTTATGATTAGTAATTAAAGAATCCAGCACTGGCCTGAAAATATACCAATACATACATTTTGTAACATTAGGAAAACACTTTTGTAATTATCACATCTTAGACAAGTATCTATGTATAACCAGCAACACACAGCACCCAGCTGACTGGTTTATCCAGAGCTACATTAATTCCTATCCAGGTGACTGAACCTCGAAAAAACAGCAAGACTAAAAAAAACAGCGTGTCCCAGATTGCTGCCATTTGTCACCCTCCCCCCTCAGATGTATTGTCGGTAATTCCACCTTGGGTCGGGTCGAAATTGCCGGCGTTCGACACCGATGTGATTAGTCCTGCCCCTGCACCTGGGAAAACCTGCCCCCTCAAACTGATTAGGCAGAGGGAAAGGAATGCTGTGTTTCCTGTTTTGATCCCCAAAAATTAGGGTCGGTAGGTAACCTCCATAGCATGCCAAAAACTGGGGGTTTGGGGTCTTCAGGGTCTCTGGGATCTTTTATGTGCTATTTTCTGACTGTATATAGACAACATAGCCGGTCTGGTTGAATAATTACCCCGTTTTATCAGAAAACAGCCGAAGACCACCAAACCCCCAGTTCTATAAGCCTGCTACGGAGGCTAGTCCGTAGGTAGGGATGATCTTTTTTGTCTTTTTTCTTTTAGACTTCTTTTAGCTCCTTGCTTATACAGTGCAGAAAAAAGTAAAACTTGCATGAGGACACTTTGAGGATATTTTCAATGTCAATGTTGGAAAACTGATTGTACAATGTTTTATCACTCAGGTGTCTGATCATGGAGCTAGAAAAGGTCAATCAGCTCAAAAATTTATGTCCCTTGCAGAGATCCACACACACAAAAAAGACTAGGGTCGGCAGTTTTTTCTAGGGTTGGCCGGGAAACAGGAAACACAACATTTTTTTCCCTAGAAACATGCCCCCACAAACTGATAGCCAGAAAAGGTAAATCAGCTAAAAAAGATTTATATCCCTTTCAGAGGTCCACACACAAAAAAAGGCTAGGGTCGGCAGGTTTTTCTAGGGTTGGTTGAGAAACAGGAAACACAACATTTTTTTTCCCTAGAAATGTGCCCCCACAAACTGATAGCTAGAAAAGGTAAATTTGCTAAAAAAATTTATATCCCTTGCACATAAATTTATATCCACACACACACAAAAAGGCTAGGGTCGGCAGGTTTTTCTAGGGTCGGTCGGGAAACAGGAAACACGACATTTTTTGCCTTACAAACGTGCCCCCGGCCACAAACTGATTACCTGCTCAAATCATACCGACTCGCGACGGATCGGTCCTAAATACTCCCGGTGAAAAATCGGGCGTCAAATCGGACTCCACAGCAAACCGTTGGACGGGCCGATTTTCGGGCCATATACCGTCCCGAATACATATCTCAGCAAGGCAAATGGTCAGTCTGGGTTTTATTACAGAGTGGCCAAGATTGGGCCATGCATCATCGGGCCCACTTTATAGGTCCTAAAAGTGCAAACTAGGCAATGAAAGAAATTGCCGTCAGTGTGAAGTGGTGGGTGGTATGGACTGTGGGGTGGGAGGGGGGCGGTTTACGGTCACGGAAGGTGCGTTCAAGGTGACATTGTGCTAGAGGACAAACGGGGACTTGTGATTTTCTTGAATGTAGTTGGAAAATGCATAACGATGCAGAACATAATAATATGCATTAACTTGCCCTTGGGAAAGGCACTTCACACGACTTTCCTCACTTCACTCAGGTGGAAGTGAGTACCTAGCTTCGGTTAGGGACGTTCCTCGGATAAAATATTAAATGGAGGCTGTGAGAGGTAAAACATACGAGAGCACTTTTTAAACGGCTTCAACTTATGACAACATCTTGATCACAGCCATCCAGGTAAAGTGAGGAAATTCGTATAAAGTACCTTTCCCAAGGGCACAAGATCAGTGGCATGGCAGGGTTTGAACCCAAGACCTCTTGGTTCCAATATTTATACACGATATAAAATTATTGTTACAAGAGTTCTTCTTAGCTCGTTTTCAACTTATGACAAAATCTTGATCGCCTGCCGTCCCAGATTAAACGCTGACGTGGCAGCTTTCATCAGACATGAATGTCCGGTGATACGGCCCGTATCCCATAACAACGTATATTTCTGTACGTTGACACAAGACATCGTTAAGTCCTAAGTGCCTGTGAGTTCTACCCATAGCCCCCCTCCCTGCATTTTTTGGAACAACAAGAGCTTTAGGACTAATTTGCATCAACCTTGTCTTGACTTGTCTAACTTTTGTTTCCTTTTGGACATTTGTCTTCACTGATTGCATATCAATCAACAGTTCGTGCTTATAAACCTGCTTTTCTGACAACTCTCCAGTGTCACTGACAAAAGGTAGTGGATGCTACCTAAAATGTCTGACTGTTTCCAAAATCATATCCAGTTGCTTGAGTAACTGTTTTTTGGTCTTCTTGGGTACGTTTCCAACTTATGATAGCATCTTGATCGCCTTCTGTCCCAGATTAAACGCTGACGTGGCAGTTTTCATCGGACTGGAATGTCCGGTGATACGGCCCGTATCCCATAACAACGTATATTTCTGTACGTTGACACAAGAAATCAATCCTTGTGCTCCATCATAGGAGTCATACCGCGGCATTGGCAGTTCTTTAATAACCCAATTTTCCCCTCCAGGAGTTTTAAGTGATTTTTTTTTGCCGACTCGTGGTAATCTGACTCTCCGGGAGTGACGGCCGTTTGGAGGGACACAGGTCACCAAGTCATCTCTGAAATACCATGTCGTGGTGACTACCGGTATACATGTAGTCAGGGCTGGAAATACTGGTTGCACAGAAGTATGCAGTTTTGTGATACTAGTAATTGCTGTGGTTGCACTTGTGCACCAGTCCTAGGTATTTGCGAAGGCTGAAAAAGACTATAAAGTTTATTTTCATAGGTGGTAAAAGTCAATGCAGCAAATAAAAATCCCCAATGTATACACCTAGTATATGGATGAGTGCAGGCCTAGGTTTGGTGCGGGTAGACAATGGATATACCTGTACATCTCCAATTTTACCTGCACTAACCTGCATATACCCAGTACATATATAGACCAGTACAGTGCAGGTTAGGTGCAGGTAGACATCAGAAATACCTGCACAGCTCCAATTTTACCTGCACTAACCTGCATATACCCAGTACATGGACCACTGCAGGTTAGGTGCAGGTAGACATCAGAAATACCTGCACAGCTCCAATTTTACCTGCACTAACCTGCATATACCCAGTACATGGACCAGTACAGGTTAGGTGCAGGTAGACATTAGAAATACCTGCACAGCCAGAATTTTACAAGCACTAACCTGCATACAATGTATGCACACAGTATTTCGAGCCCTGATATAGCATATTTTGTCTTCTCAAGAATGTTGTGAAGAAAAGTACATTTCATGTAAAATAGGTGTCTAGATGTGCAAGTGAAAGAATTCAAAGTTTATAAGAAACGGTTAGAGCCACAGTCTACAGACCTTAGTCTATCCATCAGAAATACCTGCATACTTTTAATCTATGATTCCTGTATCTAATGATACTGCATGTGAAAGAAGTTTCATGTAAGGAATGGTTAGATGTTAGAGCCACAGTCTACAGACCTTAGTCTATCCATCAGAAATACCTGCATGCTTTTAATCTGCGATTCCTGTATAATTTACAGTATCTAATGACCATCAAGTGCCGCGGACGCCGACTTGATTATCTATAGCTTCACCCCAGCGAATCTCGCCTGTGCGGGCTCCCTACATGACTGCCGTCTCATCCGCTTTAATTGCGTTAAGACCGTTTGATTTATGTGCAGCAGACTGGATGTTTCTGGTCGGGCAAACAGATCATCTTTCATGATCAGTGCGCCGGTTCGCTCTCGCTCTCCTGTAGCCCAAATGAAGGGAACCGCGTCGATTCGATAACATGCCCGCAGAAAGGTAATAATTTGTTGGTTTGCCACTTCATTTTTTTCTGATTTGCGAAAAAAAAAAGATTCTGGATCTGAATCAACTCAAAAATGTTCATATTTTACCCCAACAGTTGAGAAAAGTCCTTTTCTTCCTAGCAGTCACAGTTTTTCCATCTATTAATGCATTTGTTTGATTCAAAGTTCAAAATTCATTGTTTGAATATTAACCCAGCCTTTTGTGTTGACTTCATGGCTCCTATTGTAGCATTTGGGGCTATAATAGGATGCCTAAGACCTGTTTTTATTTTTTTTGCCCAGTCGCTTCATATTTTTTCTGAAAAAATCTGAGAACCAACAAATTAAATTGGTGTGGCATGACAGTCT